CGCGCATGCGTGACACGCACACACTACCACGTTTACATACACAAGTAATGCAACGCACACTAGCGTATAATATACAGCTGTGGCTTCATGTAATGCTGTGGTTGTGTGTGTGTACTGAAAGTAAATAGCTCGAGTGGTCGAGAGTTTATGTCGATGCGTAGTTTTATTATTAACGCATTTAATATTCTGATATGCTTTGGTATGTGTAGGTTTGTATGAGAATAATATTGTGACTACTTGCCTTCATTAAAATGAAAGAAACCAATTATGATATTAGTTTGGTGGTTATATTTATATGTATCATTATTGTTATTTGGTAAATTATTTGTTCTATCTTATCCAGTTACCTCTTGGTATAGGAACTTAGATAAATACTCCAATATCAAAACGAAAAATAAATCTGAGAGGCAAACTATGCAATATTAAAAAACAGTATTGAATTAATTATAATTTGTTAGGTTCATTTTTATTTTTAAAAGATATAGAAGGTATGCTAAAATTTTTATAGTACTATTAGTAAAGTTTCGTTGGAGTTATAGCTTCGTTTATAGTTATAAAGACTAAGTAAATTAAATAACTAGGTTACATTCCATAATTATATCAATTTCGTATATGACTTGATTATAAGTACAAGTATATCTTGATTAGTTTGATTTGATTATTAGTACATTCATTGATAAATAAAACCGTCAAATCATTGCTTAGTGTGCTTAGTAATTTATCTCAATATTTAAAAAAAAATATGATCTCTTTAATGCTAGGCTCATTAGTACTTAGGTGTAGATCAATAAAGATTACATTAACAGAAAAATAACGGTCCGTGGCAAACTACTTTCCTGCCTAGTTAATTATGTAAGTAGAATAAGAACGAAATAAAAAAATATCCAATAAAAATAAACGCTAATTTAATTAGACAGTTCAGAAGAAAACAAATAAAAGAACCCAAGTACAATCACAAAACTAATAAGAAAGGGATGTACTACGGAAACTCGAGGCGAACAATACTTTGAATTCCGATGAATTCAATTCACTTTCATGCAATTTATTCGATGAAGCGACCGACTGGCAAGTGACGCAACAGGTTACATTATTATCACAGATTTTTACAAAACCGTAACCATCTAATAGTTTCATGAATGGAGAATTCCTAAAAAACATTCCTTACAAGTTGTATTGTCTGTATACAATGACAGGCGCCGTCTAACAAAGCGTGTTTTACAAGTGTACAGTTCACGATAGCTCTTTATGATTCAGCCTCTATAGTGTGACCTCTAATGTTTGGTTTTCCATACCCCTTATACATCCGTTTTGCTTCTATTTAAGGGGAGTGTGGCAGGTCAAGTTATGTTGGATAGGTTCTAAAAGCATGATATTGTTGTAATATCAATAGTCGCGAAACTTTTTGTCGTCATGTGTACTTTTGTGAGTAAACGCCGATTAATGTAATTATGTGTGCGGTTCTGTTGGATCACAATGAATCAGTTAATTGTGTTAGTATTAATTTTATTCAGTGTTTAATCGGTTATTCGATATGATGCTTGTAAAGATTCTGTTTCGGTTCTTTCATTATTCATTGTTATTGTTGTTTTTAGGTTGTTATTTATACTTGTAAGAATGTCTTCTTTTGTTATCTGTGTTTCTGTATCTGTTCTGTCACAACAAACCACTGAAGCTCTATAGAGTCTATAGAGTAAGAAAATACGATCTTAAGGAACTTTTTGTAACTTTAAATAGGTCCCTACTAAATAAACTGTTTACTATCTTTACAAATTTGCCGTTTAAGTTACGTAACAGTCATGAACAATTTTGTTTCGTTTAGGATATTCTATTTTGAGCACCAAAGAGTTGACTCTTTTCTTTTTTCAATGGGCTTTTGCGGTCTTTTAGGAACCGTTTGCTTAACAGAACTGTAGAAACTCCGGCTACTGTTTAAACTTTACTAATAGTAAAAAGGAGCATTAGGAAAAAATGAGTTTGAAAGGCAGAACAATGAAATAGTGGGACATACAAGAAGCTTATACTTTCCGACAATAGCAGAACCTAATCAAATTACGGTTATAAACAGCGGATGACTTAACGGGTTAACGGGGCAGGAGTAGGAACGGGGTGGTTTTTAGTCAGTAAGCGTCTGACACTCCCTCCCGCCTCACCCAGTCGGGAGAAGTCATTCGATGATTTTCCCACCTTAAAAAAAAAAACAAAAAAGTAATTATTAAACTTAACTTAGCATTCTAAAATCAAATACCTCAAACCTATATACAATTTTGCCCACAAAAACATGTGTGAATATATTATATCCCACGCCCCGTCAACGGTGTTCGGTTACCGGCAGTTTTTTTCCGAAAAGAGGTGGATCCCATTTCTGCCTGAAAGTCTACACCGCACGGCTGCACGTGCACGACTGTGTAAAAGCAATATGGCGGATAAATGAATTCGATATTAATAGGACATTTTATTTTATTTATTTTGTAAGTATGTTTTAGACATTTTGTAGGAAAATGTGTTTATATGTGTATTTTTTTTCTTAACTATTGTTCTTATTTTTTTTAGATAAAGACCAGACTGATCGTCTGGCGATTTGGAATTATGGCTAAATTATCTTTTAAATAACGTAGACATTTTAGCTTTAATTACCTATAGTATAAATAAGTTTAAGAGATATTAAGACCGATTTGACGTGTAACTTTTAGGCCTTAAGTTTTATGCTTCGACTAAAACTTGGAGAAGTTTTACTTAAGGTGTATCAAAAATGAAATTATTGCTGGTAGGTATTGAAGTTTATATTTAGACTAACATTTACAGAATGACCTCAATTTATTACGTATTACCTAGGGAATCAGACGTAATATTATGATATATACTTAAATACCTAGATACTTAAGTAGATATTTACCTAGCTGTTTCCTAGTTTCTGTAATACTTACGTGAATCACTGTCCTAGTATTTTCTGCGAAACTGTGTAAACTGGGCGAGTTATTTGAAATGCAGTGTTAAGTTATAAAGGTAAACATTATATGGAGCTCCGTTTTACGCAAAACCAGTACTATTTGGGCTACTGGAATTTATATGAACTAGTATTTAGTGTAATAACTATCTATTTCCTAGTGTTACGTGTTCGTTATAATATGATTTATGCGGTTACTTAATATGTTGTATATTATTTGTTAGTAGTTCTATTTTTAGTTTATATGTGTTTTGGTAATTGTGTGAATACCACTGATTGTCAAGTTCCTACTTGACGACTATCCTTAATCGGAAGCTCAAGTTCTGACAACAAGCAGTGTAACAAGGACTTACGATCTATCTCATTTTATGTGGAGTTAATGTCGGCAAATATACCGAAATAGTAGAAGCATATAGATGAAACTGGCCATTAGCAGGATTCTGAAGGTAATAGACGCATGTTAATTGTTAAAATTCACATTAAACCGTCAAACGCCAAGCGGTCACCGGTGACCGCGGTAGGTACTCAACGAGTTAATCTAGGAAAAACTTAGTACTAAGTACCTACCATAACCTAACTTGGTGACAACCAAGAAGATGTCTTCCATCTAAGACGAATCAAAAATGTTATCGTCAATCCTTCAGTTCTTTTGTGATCCAAAGACAGGAAATCGACACTCAAGCAGTAAGCTCAACCCAATCCCATTTTGTTTTCAAGATTACATTTAATAAGAGGTTATGTTTTTTTGCTACATATTGCACCAACTCAAAAATTAGATTCACAAAAATGAACTGTAAGACACAGATGATCTGATCTAGTTTTCAAAGGTGTGGTTAGTCTTCTTATGGCGTTTTGGAAATGAATATCAGAAGATATGTGTGTAACGGTAGGAAATAGGTGATTATTGCGATAGGATATCCGAAAGGATGTGATGTATCAGGTAAAATTATTTTTAATTGTTGGTGACCTTCGGATTATAAAGGGTGTGTATGAGATTCATAAAAACTATTTGTGATATCGGATTACAAGTGTTTTTTATTAAGTTATCGTAACTGTAACTCCCTCCTATTACCTTTACCTGTCGCGGAGAACCTAACGGGTAACCGGGGCTCCGGCTCGACGTGCAGGAGAAGGAACGGGGTGGTTTTTAGTCAGTAAGAGTCTGACACTCCCTCCCGCCTCACCCAGGCGGGAGCAGTCATTCGATGAATTTCCCCCCTTAAAATAAAAAAAGAAATTACCTTTACCTACTTAAGTACTTATAAAGTGATAAACAATGATTTGCCTACACATGTTTGATAGTTGATTAAAGAATATGAAAGATATGTCAATATACCTAAACAGAAATCTTGATTGAGATGACTGACAAGTAAGATACGTCATCATTTCGCTCGTTCTTACCTTACTGCACCATATAAAATTTCAAAATAATACAACTAAGAGCTTTCTTAACCATAAATACAATAATTACTACGAGATTGATCAAAGTCAAAAATCATCTAACGAAGACATAACAATATATCAAAATTAGACACAACAAATCATCAGATTGGAATGTAGAAAATTCAAAACAAATTGCCTTCAACCAAACCAGATATTAACACTAGTAATGTTCAAATAAAATATCATCGAATCATAAGGAAAATTCTTCCAGCATCGCTGCAGAAGGTTGGACAAACCGCCGAGTCATCGACGCGGGCGCATCGGCCCGTGGGCGCGACTGCTTTGATGCGAGCCGACGTTCGACATCGTCCGATAGCCGACAAAACGACAACCACGCTGTGTAAGGCTTAAAGTTAGTGGTTGAAGCGATTATTGAAGAAATATCGATATTAACGCATTTATTCCTATCAGTTGAGTTAAATGGAGGTTAGGACTTGCTGTAACCTTAATAAAGCATAAGCTTAAAACATAAGCATTTTTTCATACCTCGCATACCTCAGGTGATCTCTATAACATTAAACTGTCAAACACCAAGCGGTCACCGGAGACCGCAACCTATTGTTCTATAATTGTGTCTATATTGACGGTACTCGACGAGTTAAAACTCACTTACTTGGGAATCATCGCGGAACTTCATGTCATGATAATCCACAGAACAATATTCACTTACTCAAAATGAAACACTAATAAACAATTGATCAAATTAAATAAAAACCTCGGAATTCAAACACGAATTCTACAGATACTCAAAAACGTTCATAACATAGACCATAAACTAAAAAACGACAGCGCGATCCTTCGGACACTTGTGAGATGATGGTGTGAATTGAACGCTAAGATGAATAAACCCGTCTGATAAACAACTGCACGAGGGCAGTAATTGGTCAGTATCGCTGTTTGTAACCTCAAGATATTTTGTCATTTCATTACAGACCATGTACCCTCATCTCGATGAAAAAAGATTGACACCCTAGCTGTCAGATTCCTTTTAATGTTCCCACCTTTTTTGATTCTTGATTTATAAACCAATAAAAATGTTTTACGTCATCATCGCTAATGTGAAAAAGTTCTAATCTTGTCACTGGCCAGAAAGAGGCAGCGTTGTTTAAAAATAGAATGCTCAATTTTTTTTACGAATCGATAAGTATTTCAATATTTTGATTATTTTTATTTTTTTTAAAGATTGCCTTTGTCGACGAACAAGATTGATATACCTACTTAAATGTTGTTTTATAATTCTTGTCGTATGTCGGGAAAAGCGCGAGGAAAATGATGTGCCGTAATACCTATATTACGAGTCGATAATTAATTACATCGGTGAAAGTCTTTTGGTTACGTTGGATTACTGCAATATTTTATATGGAAAACGTATTTATAAATACTTATATCTAACTCAGAATAAGTGGAAAACGAAGAAATTGTAGTGAATAAATAATAGGAACTTATGAAATTTCATTTGTTGAACAATCAAAGCAGTTTGCGTTATCATGTTATTTATTTAACGTGGTTCTATATATGAAAAGTCTGTAGGTTACGCGTTATAGTTGATATATTGCTAAATATAAATACATAGTAGGTAAGTACTTACATACAAGACATATGCACTCTTTAGATACTTTAAGAAATAATAGGGTAGATGACTAATTTTTATTTTTATGTCCGTCTTGTAGATTATTTTAAAACATTAGACACGTATTTTTTATTTCCTTACAGATACAAATACTTTCGACAATATATTGATTTGAAATGTCGCGTGACGTTAATTCTAGACGTTTTATATGTAGAAATGACGTTTTTACTCCCACTCCTAAACTTTGATCCGTTTTATCTAAGTATCATTTTATTATACAACAAAATAAAAAAATACGTGTCTAATATTTTTTCATTACCTAACTGACGGACTATTTAGATTTTTATTTTCACACCCTATCACCATCTCTATTGCTTTATATCACAATCAATGTTTCCTAAAACGCAACAGACATAGTGTTGAGATTATTATGAATGAAATCTGGGTGCCAACTTACATTTTGACACTTCAAATCAAAGAATTCCCAAACTATCTCCATGATATTGCATGGAAACTCCCACAACCTGTCATGTCACCATTTGTTTCCTCAAATTCTTGTATTACAATAGATATGCAATTATAACAATCCTATTGAGACAATTCACGATACTTCGTGAGTGTATCCTCACGTGGACCGGTCATCGTATTCCTGCGTGATCCGAACGTATGTACCGTGCCTAATGTCAACACGCAATGCGATTGTGATTCTAATTTATGAATTGCGATCGTTTCTTTTAATATTTATGATGTTGGTAATAAATTGTTGCCAGTAATTATTTATTAGATTACTTTTTTAATGTTGTCGTGTTTTAACCTGTTAGCGAATGCTATTAGCCATCAAGTTTGTACATAAAGTTTATACTTAATAAAAATAAAGTTACATATATTTTTATGGGTTATAGATATGTAGTGAATAATAAATTATATGTGAAAATGTTCTTGCTAGCTAATCTAACTATAGCGTCGCGGAGAACCTAACGGGTAACCGGGGCTCCGGCTCGACGTACAGGAGAAGGAACGGGGTGGTTTTTAGTCAGTAAGAGTGACACTTCCTTCCGTCTCACCCAGACGGGAGCAGTCATTCGATGATTTCCCTTAAAAAAAAATCTAACGATAGCAATTTTACACATATTTGTAGAAATATTATTTATTCAGCCGTTGATAATAATCGGCTAGTGCACATCATTTTATTTTAAGATATATTACTTTATCCCTGAATCTCCAACAATCCTCAAATTCGTAATCCTCAAAAGGTCAGTAACGCACTTGTAACGCCTTTGGTGTTGCAAGTGTTCATGGGCGACGTCGATTGCTTACCATTACTATCAGGTATGGTTCGTTCGTTTACCGGCTTATCCCATAAAAAATCACAGTAAGTTCGACTTGGTTGGGTTATTAGAAATAAAAAAATTAAGAAAATTATCATGGTGTTGATTATTTTTTTAAGACGATGTAGATATGCAGTTATGGTAAAAAGCTATTTACATTTGTATACTACGCAGTTATACAGTAATCAGTACATTTAATACATGGCGAAACGTAGTTATGTTTTTATTATTTCAGACGATTTTCCAACACTTGTCATCTGAGTCAATATTCCTATGTATGTGTTGCTAAGCATGTACAGTTGTTTATATATATTCGTATCATTACGCTGACTTTGCCTTGAAGAGGTCAGCTTTAACCATTTGCTATGAAACGTTAAAGGTTTGTAATGTTTTCAGAAAAATATCACAGGAATATTATCGAAAAATGTGGAATTTTCTTTGTTTGGATGTTTGCCGTCAATTAAACTGAACTACTGAACGGATTTTGATAAAATTTTGTATTATACAGACAGGGTTTTTAAGGGGGGGGGGGAATCATCGAATGATTGCTCCCGCCTGGATGAGGGAGAGAGTGTCAGACTCTTACTGACTAAAAACCACTCCGTTCCGTTCTACTAACTATAACCGTTCCTGCACGTCGAGCCGGAGCCCCGGTAACCTGTTAGATTCTCCATGGGCTGATTTAAGTGATAGAATACTTTTTATCCCGATTGAATGCTCCCATGGGATAATTTAATCATATTCTACGCGGACAAAGTCGCAGGCAGCAGATAGTTGACTGAAATCTTTTACAGAATTATCATAATCATTCTATCCTAAAAACTTTATTAACAAAGTCGTCCAGTAGAGTAACCATGTCTTCGAAATAATAAACAACATGGCGACAGGAATAATTCTTACACTTGACTCTTATCCTCAGCAGCTCGTGGCAGGTCACTACTGGACCTGGCTTTCTATACATAAGAGAAGTTTGCCATATTCTCCTCGCTGGCAGTCACGCGAGAATGTCACCAGGGCGGCATAGATTCCATTGATTAATATTTAACGTCGGAACGTAGATCTACGCGAGACACAATGTAATTTCTATTGTGTCTCATATACCGGCCGGCATTCAAGAGGTTAAACCAGACCACAGACCAAAAATACCATATTCAGTAAGAGGCCGACTGTTCTGTTGGCCGAGTGAGTGGTCGCAAGTGCGACTGCCCGGCATGGGGTCTCGGGTTCGATTCCCGGGTCGGGCAAAGTACTATTGGTTTTTTTAAATCTCAGTAGTAGCACGGAGCCTGGAATTGTTCCCGGTCCATGGCAATAGTCTCACCCCCTATTACATGGGACTCATAGCATAAACAGTGAAAAGTAGGTGTTACATTGTAAGTACAGTGGCACTTCTGCCTACCCCTTTGGGGATAAAATGCGTGATGTAATGTTGTGTTAAGAGGCCGATACTCTGCCACACCTCGCCCAGAGCACGAGGAGTTATATTTATGATTTTCCCTCCTCAAAAAAGACCATAGTGTCATCAAAATGATCAAAGACAGTCAATCAATAACACCCACAATGACTCACAGTTGAATGACATTGGAATGCAAATAACAGACAAGTCAACAAATGCACACCTCAAAACATGAAGAAGTTATTTAACACTACATTTATACAAAATATCTAACAAATTCATTGTTCGTAGCCATTTCTTGAATGGTAGTAACACTTAGGCTTTGTGAGGCTTCGAATAATTGATTCTTACCTTTGTACGACTTGTTTCTTGTTGACATTACGTAACAATTTTGTAATAATCTGTTATTGATCTTGCCTTTTATTGGCGCTTTGTCATGGATATGAATGCGTTATTGTAGCTGAGTTTTTGTTCAGAAGTAGCAAGTGTTTGGTAGGATTTAGACTTATTGGTACTGGTTTTATGTAATGATGTTGTATGTAATGATGGTTCGTTGATGTGGTGGGGGAAGTGGGACTTAAAATAGAATTCTAGATACAACCCTCTATTGAATAAAGACTTTATTTGAACATAATATTATGACACTATAATGTTTTCGTAGTTGAAAAGGTAGTATTGCAATTGGGATGATGACAGGGTATGAAAATTATAAATGTAATTAGTCCGTAAGTTACGTAATGAAAAAATATTAGACACGTTTTTTTTATTCATCGTATAATAAAACAGTACTTAGATAAAACGAATCAACGTTTAGGAGTGGGGGCTAAAACGTCATTTCTAAGTATAAAATGTACATAGAAGTGATGTCACGCGACATTTCAAATCAATATATCGTCGAACGTATTCGTTTCTGTAAGAAAATAAAAAACACGTCTAATCGTTTAAAATAATCTACCAGACGGACATTAAAATTTAAATTAGGTATCTACCCTATTTTGGCAAGTTACATTTTTAGTATCTTTGTGTTTAGGATTGAACTTATTACCACTGTAGATACGATTCAGGTTTCAGATAACTTTTTGGAACCTGAAATGATTCATTAATGCGTCTTTCAAGTACTTGAAGGAGTTTTATTCAATGGAATAAACAATTCCACTCTTAACAAGACACCGAGTCTATCTTTGAGTTACGCAGCAAATCCTCGCATATTAATTTTGCAGGTAAACACACCCTTGTCTGGGGTAATCTGCAAAAAACTATAGAGAATATAATCCTTTCCGGGGTAGTTGGGTTGGCCAGTTTCGTCTTTCGGCAGACTTTGTGACGCCCCGACTGCCGAACGTGGAACGAAGCAATTGGTAATCGTTTGTCGGCAATGTAAAACAGTTCAGGTGTACGTAGGGCTGTGCATAGGTAAGTAAATTTGTGGTATATTTTTTTTTGTACTTTTTTGACGGAGTTTGAAGAGGAAAGAGTAATTATAATTATATATTGTTGAATGTTAATATTAAGGTCA